GCGATGCTCAACCGACTGGCCGCAGCGGCCAGGGCTCCACGACGACTTTTAAACCCGTTTTCTAAACGGCGATGAGAAAGCCTTCTGAAAAGCATAGGCCTAAAAAATACGGGTCTTTCTGCTCCTTTGCTAAAAAAACACACAAAACAAAACAATCTCACCATCGCACCTAATATGTATTAAGTGTGAGTTACATCCTGCAAATGTCTGCGAGTAGACACTTTCTGACTTTTCGCCTGGTCTTCGTGTCTCCTCCCGGCCACCGGCTCCAGCCACAGACTTCCCTCGGTTCTGAATCAGCGAGACGAGGGGGCTCGGCTCTCAGGCCGCCCCTCCACCCGAGGGCCCTCCCGGGCCTTCCTCCCGCCCCCTGGGCGCCGTGTCCAGCCAGTTTCTAGGAGGGGACAGCGGGCACTCCGCTGAGACACCCACAGGCTCTTGGAGCCTCCCATGGGGACCACTCTTCCACTAGCCCTCTCTCTCGGAATCCTGAGCTAGTGACACAGATCCATTCCCGTGGGGACATTCCCGAGATGGAGCCTTTGACGTGTTTTTTATTTCTCAGTCCCACGTGTGTTCTGAGTCTCTTCTAGCTACATGTCGATGTCAACCTCTGTATTTTTCGCCCTGGCCGGTTGGGCTCAGTGGATAGAGCCATCAGCCTGTGGACCGAAGGGTCCCGGGTTCGATTCTGGTCCAGGGCGCAGGCTCGGGTTGGGGGCTCGATCCCCAGTTGGGGGCGTGCAGGAGGCAGCCGATCCATGATTCTCACTCATCATTGATGTCTCTCTCTCTCTCTCTGTCTCTTTCTCCCTCTCCCTTCCTCTCTGAAATCAATAAAAATATATATATTTTTGAATTTCCATTTTTCTAATGCACCTCCTTTGGCTTACGTTCCACAGGACTTCGTTTTGGCTGCTTACAGGCAAGGACGCTGACACCCCGACACCAGCGCCTTCCCTTGTAACCAGCCTCAACCTGAAGCCGCCCTTTCCCGATCAGATGCCCCCGCGGGGTTGTCTGGGACGGTGTATTGTGTGGCCATTCATGTTCCGCGACCTTAGCGGTTTCCCCTCCCCCCGATGCACGGGCGACGGGCACGTTTCCCACCCTCCGTCTTCCTGGTGTGCGACCTGTGTACCTGTCGGGTGTCGGATTCCTGATCGGTAAGTTACTGCTGTTGTGTCCACTATCACTAACGAATCATTCTGGGTTTGCAAATAGAACTCTCTTTACTACAGCGAGGAAGCCGATGCCAGCTGGACCGCACTGGTCGCCCTATCACGGGTCCAAAGAATACATCACCAGGACGCTGGCCTCGAGGGTCTTGGACACCACACACACGATGCTGGCGCTGTCGCAGATGGCCCGGGAGTAGTAGCTGCCGAAGGAAGCACAGCACCCTCAGTGGGCGGGAGGGGACGCAGGCCTATGGTGGGGTTTTTGTTTTCTTTTGAAATTTTTATTGATTTCAGAGAGGGAGGGAGAGGGAGGAAGAGAAACACCAGTGATGAGAGAGAATCATGGATTGGCTGCCTCCTGCACACCCCCACTGGGGATCGAGCCCTCAACCTGGGCCTGTGCCCTGACCAGGAATCGAACCCGTGACCCTTCAGTCCACAGGCTGACGCTCTACCCACTGAGCAACACCGGCCAGGGCAAAGAATTTTTTCTGTTTAAACTCTAGGACCCCTTGTTAATTAGCTTAACTAGACATTTGAAATCGCGAGGAAGAGTCATCGCCAAGCAGGGCTCACCAACTGGGCCTGGGGTCGGCCCGCCTTTGCTCCAGGTGGCAGCAGCTCAGGAGGCCTGGGTCGCGGCCTCCCTCCTCCCACATGTACAGGTGCAGGTAGTTGTCCATGGACGTGGTGAGGACGTGGAGCGAGTCCTGCGGAGGAGGGCCAGGGTGAGCCGGCGCCCCTGCCGGAGCCGGCGCGGCAGGAGGAGGGCGTACGCACCACCCATAAGGAGCAGATGGTGTTCTGGTGGTGGCTGAATCGATGCACCAGGTGGCCGTAGATGGAGTAGAGGAACAGGTATGGCCCGCTCTCAAAGACGATCGTTTCTCTGTCCGGGACCCCCATCCGGAGCGGGTCCTCCATCTCGTCCGGCAGCATGAAGGCCGCGATCTGACGGGCTGTTTTCGGGGGAAACACACAACCAGGCAGACTTTGGGTCGTGTCGTCAGAACCACCTCCTGACCCTGAATGAAAAGATAAACTCCCCGGCCTGCGGGGCTCAGGGGTTGAGCATCGACCTAGGAACCAGGAGCTTGTGGTTTGATTCCCGGTCGGGGCCCCAGGCCCAGGCTGTGGGCTCGACCCCCAGTGGGGGGCGTGCAGAGGGCAGCCCATCCATTACTCTCTCATCGTGGATGTTTCTCTCTCTCTCTCCCTCTCCCTTCCTCTCTGAAATCAATGAAAATATATTTTTAAAATAACAATGAATCAGACAGGCCTCCAGCTAAGAAAGTCCCGCCCTGCAGAGGCGCTGATGGGGCCAACCTTTCATGACTGTGCTGCCCCCAGAGCTTTTCTCTGCCAGGTCGAAGGTGCTGAACCCTGTCCTCCTGCAGGACCCTCTCCGGAACATCACGGTCACCCTGTTGGCGCACTTCAGGGCCCAGCAGGCTTGGCTGCAGAATGTGAACGGGAGAGAGACGCTCGAGGGGGTGCTGTCTCCGGGCCTCAGCAGGCCCTCGGCGGAGAACACCTGTGGGGAGACCAGTGCACGGGGTCAGGCGAGGGGGTTGCCGTCTCCGTGCAGCAGCGACGCCAGGAAACCCTTCTCAAAACCCTCCACTGCGCGCCCGGGGCCGTGGCTCGGTGGCTAGAGCGTCGGCCTCCGGACTGAAGGGTCCCGGGTTCGAGTCCCCCACACCCCCTCCCATGGTCTCCATGCGGCCGCCCTGGGCCCCAACCAGGTTGCGGCAGGTCCCCTTCACGGGCTGATCCGCCGTCGCTGCGCCTCCCTTAGCTCCCTGGGGCCCAGCCACACGCTCGCCCCGACGGGCGAGGCTCAGGCTCAGGGAGAGAGCATGGGCCTGCAGACCAAAGGGTCCCGGGTGCGATTCTGGTCACGGGCACAGGCCAGGGCTCCATCCACTGAGCCAACCCGGCGGGGCCAGGCCCTCCCTCCTGTCGCGCCCCCTCCTCCATCCCGGGCTGAGGCAGGCCCCAGGCGCCCATTTTCAC